GTGTGTGTGTGTGTGTGTGTGTGTGTGTGTGTGTGTGTGTGTGTGTGTGTGTGTGTGTGTGTGTGTGTGTGTGTGTGTGTGAGAGAGAGAGAGAAGATTCAATCAATTTTGCTCATCCTTTCGACGGAAGTTGCATGAGGCCGCGGCTGGCCTCGCGCAACTTCCATCGAAAGGATGAGTAAAATCAATCGAGGAATATACAGTACTACACACACACACACACACACACACACACACACACACACACACACACAATCAATCAATCAATCAACCAAAGTTCCACGATTGATTGATTGATTGATTGAATGATTGTGTGTGTGTGTGTGCGTGTGTGCCTAGGGGAGGGGAGGGAGGACCCCTCCCCCACCAATCTATCAATCAATCAATCAATCAACCAATCAATCAATCAATCAACCAATCATTCAATCAATCATAAACCAATCAATCAATCAATCAATCAATAAACCAATCATCCAATCAATCAATCAATCAATCAATCAATCAATCAACCAATCGATTTATTTATTTATTTATTTATTTTATTTTTTTTTCACACATAAAAAATCGCCCTCCCAAATTTTTGATTTTTTTTTTTTTTTTTTGCACAGGCCTATAACGGCGAACGTGCGCAGGTCGAGCGCGCGCGCGGATTTTGAGCGTGCGCCCCCGCCTGGGCGTGGTGCGGCCGCGCGCGAACTCGGCCGCACGGCCTCGGCCGTGGCTTCGGACGCGGATCCTGCGGCCGCGGCCTACTTTGCCACGTAGGTTAACACACACATACTAATCGGCCCTTGCAAAAAAACAAAACTATTTTTTTATTTTTTTTTTCATTCCTTGTTTTTTTCCTTATTACAAAAAACAAGAGCATAAAATCAAAGAAGACAAGAAACTGCCAATAATTTATTTTTTTTCTCTTCTCCGGCTTTTTGCAAGGAAGATGCGTAGTAGCGAACTTCAACAATCAATCAGCATCATATGCACAAGACCAGATGGTCGTGACCTCGAACCAACAACAAAATTGCATCACGAGTTTCACCAAATAAGAAGACACAAAGAGTTAAAAATTGACAATGCTAGTAAAGTCTCATCATCATCATCAATGAAGAACCAATGTTGATATCCTATCGGGCGCTCGGCGCCCAGACTACAGATGGCAGATCCTATCTAGCCTAGACTACAATGCCGAATGTTGCCGACAACAACTTTCCGAATTACGAGCATACATCGACCAATGTTGCACGCTTTCAGCACCAGGTAGGTCTCTCGCTTCACTCACAACCTCGTTCCCCAACACATAGATGCCACTTGCACCCAAGGACCACCCTGCGCCACACCCAGCTTACAGCAGCGCAGCTCAGCTATGGCTGTCTGCTCCTTCCCTGCTCGTCCGTGAGCGCGTAGGGGCCAGGAAGCAATTAGTAGCGCAGCAGCGCTTGCGCAGCATGCAGCCAGCACCCGACTCGCGAATGCAGAGGCAGGCCCTTTGCTATATCGAAGTGGCCTGCCTGCGTCCAATCGCAGGAAGGTTCCAGTAGGCCCTGGTAGCCTGAGGCCCAGCACAAACGAGAACAGGCCTTGGGCCTGAGGTGGTTGCATGCGCCCAACTGCCTTTAACAACCATTTCGTCAAAACGGACATATTATATTTTTTGAACGAAATCAAAACTGACTTTTTTTGCCAAAATCCGGTCGGAATTTTTTGCTTCTAGGGGTCCCGTGTTCCCAAAAAGTTGGAACCCCTACATGTATCTGGTCTATGGTTGAGAAAAAAAAAAAAAAAAAAAAAAAAAAAATTGTATTTGGTCCCAACCATAGACCAGATGCATGTAGGGGGTCCGGCGTTTTGGAAACGCCGGACCCCTAGAAGCAAAAAATTCTGACCGGATTTTGGCAAAAAAAATCAGTTTTGATTTCGTTCAAAAAATATAATATGTCCGTTTTGACGAAATGGTTGTTCTTTGGCCTGTGTTCGGCCCAGTACCCGTATCCAGCCCAGGGCCTGCTTCACATACATTCACACACGCGGTCCATGGTCTAGGTTCTCTCAACCAACTGGCACTGCGCAACTACCTGAATTTCCTTGAGTTGCGTGGTGACCAAAACAGGGCCGTGAGCGCCTCGTCGAGCCTACCTTCACTTAGGGCGGCCGACGTGCTTCAGAATGGGGCCATAAGGGGCTCATAGAGGCATTGGCCTCGCATTCCCTCCTCCTTAGCTTCAACAGTCCTCTGAGAAGCTCAATCTCCAATCATTGGGCGCTTTCCCTTCTGCAGAGATCTCTCGTAATGGGCTACGACTTGAGGAGCGGTCTGCATGAGTTCCTCCGTGATGAACCAGTGGTCCTCCTTCAGATCAGTATGATGCCAGAACCGAACGAGATACTGCAGCTTCGGTTTTGGAGTAGGTCCCCTGCCTATTGGTCTTGCCACTTGCATCTCCTTGTGGTCCACGATATCATCGATATCCACCTCTCCGTCCATGGTTGGGGGCAGCATTGAGCGGCGAGATGGAAACTGATCTGTTTTTTTGAATGGTGCAAGCTTGGAGGCATGAAAGACGGGGTAAGTACGAAGATAACCAGGAATCCGGACTACGTAAGAAGGTCCATCCGGATCAGTCCCAACAATATCTAAGACTTCCCATGGTCCAAAGTACTGTGGCATGAGCTTGCGGGAAATCCCGTGCTCCTGTCCCAGTTCTGAGGACTTAACCAAGATTTTGTCCCCAACTTGAAATGAAGACTCACGACAGTGTTTGTTTGCAGATTCTATCATAGCCGCCTGTGCCTTTTGCATCTGTTCTATAGCCTGCTGCATCTTCTGTTCATAACGGTAAGCAAATTCTAAAGTACCTGGTGCAGCAGTTGACTGATTCTCAGGAAGGAGAAAATCTAAGGGTAGTCTAGGCTTGAAAGTCAATAACAAACTGTTCGGGCACACCCCGGTGGCACTGTGTACCACATTGTTGTACAGACTGGCGATGAGAGCAAACTTTTCATCCCAGTCCACCTGGTTGGGCTTGATGTAATGCCTCAACAAATGTTGTACAACGCGGTTCATTTGCTCGGCCTGGTCGTTGGCCTCTGGGTGATTCCGAGAAGTCATTTGCAACTGGGTTCCCTGCTCTGCAGCAGCGGCCTTCCATAATTCGTTGGTAAATCGGACATCCCTGTCACTAATAATAGACTTCGGTAAACCAAAGTCTCTGACCCAGTTTTCTTTGAACATTCGGATCACATACTCCGTTCTTGCTGTTTTCGGCATTGCTACTAACCTAGCATACTTACTAAATCTATCCACGATGACGAAGATTTGTCGCATCCCACTCTTGTTGGTGATCAGTGTATCCATGAAGTCCATAGACAGACTCTCACCGGGCCTTTCCGGAATCGGAAGGGGCTTCAGGAGCCCAAGAGAAGCTTGAGTACGTGGCTTATCCCTTTGATATACCTGACAAGTCTCCACGTACAGCTGGGCGTCTCGCATCATCGTGGGCCACCAGAACCGCTGCAGCAGATTGGTTGCGGTCTTCTTATACCCAAAATGGCCGGTGGCATCATGACACTCACCTAAAAACAAACTACGGAAAGACTCGTTATTCGGGACACACAAACGCTTATTCCCTGCCTTCTCAAGGAACAACAAGCCGTTAACCAACTCAAACTCGGCTGAAGTATTTTTGTCCTTCGCCTCTAGTCTGCGTATGATTTCTGACATAAACTGATCCTCGCGATAGGCTTCCACCATGGATTGAGTGACATTGTCCGCAAGCCCAAACTCAGTGATCAGCGCACCAGAGAAGTATGGTCTACACGACAGGGCATCAACAACCTTGTTGTACTCGCCCTTGATGTACTGGGGCTTGAAGTCATACTACTAAATGACTTCGATCCAACGCTTGAGAGCATCGAAGAGTACCAACTGAGTTCTCATCCATCTCAGGGTCAAATGATCAATCCTGAGGATGAAGAACCTCCTAAGGAGGTATTGCCTCCAATGGGTCAGAGCCTTGTAAATCGCAAAGAGTTCCTTCTCATAGGTGGACTTAGCCAACTTCTGAGAGGGCATCTTTTTGGACATGTACTTTACTGGTCTCAACTTTTTCCCCTCTTGTTGTGCAAGTATGGCGCCTATGTCATATTGGCTAGCATCCGTAATGACTATAAATGACTTGTCAGGATCAGGAAGTTTCACTACTTCGTAATGCGTCAACGCATGCTTCAAATGTCTGAAAGCAGCCTCGCATCTCTCAGTCCACTCCCATGCGGTGTCAAGGCGGGTCAGATCAGTTAAAAGGGCGACAACTATGCTATAGTTCTCCACGAAGTTGCGATAGTCGCCGATCATCCCTAAGAATGATCTCATCTCAGTCACAGACTGAGGACGCAGTATGTCACGAATGCTGGCCACCTTCGCGTCATCGGGCTTCAACCCTTTCGTGGAAATCTCATGACCCAAGTACAAGACACGGGTGCGGCCAAACTCGCACTTCTCACCTTTGATCTTGAACTTGTGTTGTCGCATGAGACTAAGGACTTTGTCCAAGTGTGCAACGTGCTCCTCGACAGTCTTACTAAAAATAAGTATGTCATCGAGGTACACGATGGCAAACGTATCCAAGTAGTCATGGAAAATCCGATTCATAGCATGTTGAAAGGTGCCAGGAGCATCGCAAAGGCCGAAAGGCATCACCACAAACTTGTACAGACCGTACATGGTCTGAAATGCGGTTTTGTATTGATCCTCGGGCCGGATTGCAATCTGATGGTACCCAGACTTCAGATCTATCTTACTGAAGTACCGACACCCTTGCACTCTATCAAGCAAATCGTCGATGCGTGGTAGGGGCTCTCTATTCTTAATAGTGATGGCATTGAGGCCCCTATAGTCAAATTGAATTCACATCCTCAGAGTTCCCTCCTTTTTCTTAGGCACAAATAATACTGGAGACCCATAAGGAGAGACACACGACCTGATCCAACCCTTCTCTACGAGTTCCTTGAGTTGTCGGTGAAGCTCATCGAGCTCCCCTGGAGACATCTGATAGATCCTACCCTTCAGGATGCTAGACCCCGGGATATCTCTATCGCATGGACGACCTCCCTCTCTACAACCCCTGTCGGTTTTTCAAATAGATCAGGGTACTTGGCAACTACTCCCTCTATCTCTGGCGGCATTTTCACCAGCTCGCCAGCAGCGGAGACATAAACTAGATACATACCCTCCTCCTGATTTTGCTTATAATAATTGTAGAATGCGGCCGCACACATGCACCCATGGGACTCGATTAGACTACTAGCTTTGAACTTGTGCAATCTGGCAGTCCCTCCACCTGGCAAAGTGTGTTTGACCACTTTTCGGTCCGAGTCAAACTGGGGTTGTGCCACAGAGAGGTAGTACATACCTAACAACATGTCCATGGGGAGTTCATCGCTCACTAGGAACGAGACGCGATGCCTCAATTCCCCTCCCGCGTACGGGAAACAACACTCAACATCTTGGAGGTAGTCATTGACTACCATGCGCTGTTTGTTGGCACACGTTGACTCCAGAGGTCATCTCAGGCACTGCACTTGCCCCTGTAAGCGCAGCCTCTCAACGCATGCGCGACTGACAAAGTTTCTAGTCGAGCAAGTGTCATAATAGGCCCCGGCCTTCCGGCTGCCAATGACAACCTCGCTGGCGAACATTTCACCCTTAGGGGCTTTGACTAGGGCCGTCCAAGAAGCTAGTGGGTCTGATCTAGACCACTCCTCCTCTAGCTCCTCTAAGGACTCAAACACATTCATCGAACAGAGGCTCGATGGGTCTGAACGTGTTTGCGGGACGACGTTGGAGTCAGTAGCTTGGGCCATCTCTCGAGATGGTGAGGGTGTCTCCACCACCTCGACCCTAGCAGGAACAACTACTATTCCTACTGGCCCGACATGTTTCCCGGAGCACTGCCAGAAAAACTAGCCACATTGCTACCAACGGGATGGGAGGATCCCAACGCCTGCCCCATCGTAGGTGGGATCTTATCGGTCACCTTCTGGTTATGGTTGTATTGGCCACAACGAATGCAAGCTTGCCGTGTGTACCGATCTCTCCACACATCCTCTGTGAGACTTGCTTTCTCCCATGGAGGAGCATTGGGGTTAACTTGACTCCTAGACCGGGAACCTCCACGGCATCTACCGGTCGCCTTACCTTTCTGAGCTACGACAACTACTACTCCACCCTCTGAAGCTTCTGCACTGCCTGCCTCTGAACCTACTCCTTCCTGGAAGTTGTTGTCTAGTTCGATGGTTGAACCATCGTTATCGACAAACATAATGCGGCCCTTCACCTTCCAGTTAGGAGGCAGTGCCTTCCTCATTCCGTTTGACGTGGATGCCAATCCATGCCCTATCTTCGCCTCAAGGTCTAGGGCCTTCTTGCTAAACGAAGGAAAGTTGTGCATATTGATGTTGGCCTCACCTGCCAACTGGTTCCTGAGAGGCAAGGAGAAGCATCTCAGGTAGGAGGTGAGTAGTACCTGGGGGTCATAGCGCACCCCTGGGACACAGATCAGACGCTCAACAGCATCGGTGGCTTCTCTTACTGACTTGAACTGCCACGTGTGCAATGTCAGGATCGCGTCAGTGGCACTTTGGGCCTCCTGAGGATCATGCCACCTTTCCTCCACCAGCTTAAGGAAGCCATTCAATTTCTGGGTGACCGCCCAAGCGCGAAAGTCATATGACCATACCCCTAGAGTTGCACTAAAGCACTCAACCATCTTGCTGCACTACCCTCTAGGTAGGAGGCAGCCACAAACACTTCTTCGTGCGGCAAGGTAAGTTTACACCTAACATAGACTGGCACTGCCCTCGACCACGTGTCAAGGTCTTCACCTCTCTTATCCCCTGTGAAGGGTTTCGGAGTGGCAATGGCCGTCTTTGGCACCCACTGTGTTTGTCCCGGTCCCTGCATCACTCCGGACTGTGGACCCGGTGAAACAGGTTGCTGTACTGACTGCAGGGGTTGAGTAACCTGTGATTGTACAGATTGCGAGACAACAGGCTGCAATCTAACTGCAACCTGAGACGGTGTCTGAGTGACCACTGACTGTACATGAATCTGCAAACTAGGACCTGCTGAGAGCCCTCCTGATAACGGCATGCCCAGGGAAACGATAACACCCGATGATGGGGCTACATATGGGGATACCCCAGTCACCGGTGGGACAAAAGGAGGAGGATGTGCAACGGGCCAGACACCTGGCCCGGACGGTGATGATGTCGCCTGCATCCGCCCAACGAATACAACCAGACTCTGTTGGATGTCCTGTAAGATGTCTGTCTGGTGATCCTGCATCTCCACTACACTTAACATGACCGACCGTATGGTTCTCAACTTCTCACACCATCATCCATCTCTGCAGGGTTCATCTCCTCTAACTCACTAACGTCCACTTCTTTCCTCTGCATCCTGGCTCTTCTCCTAATCATTCTCTCTTTCTCAACCTTAATCTCTCCTAAAGCTTGTTGTAGCTGTGCCTTGCGAGCAGCAACTCGCTGTGTGATGACCTCCTCGGGTGTCAACACCAACGGCTGGCTTTCCATAACGCCAACAGACTGACTCTGGCTCTGTGCGACCGTTGACCCTACAAATCCTGAACTACCGACCTGAGTAGTCTGCTGCGCAGAGGTGGCCATGGCTTCCGAAGCTGCGGCCTCACTTACAAGGGCCGTGCTAGCCTCTGCTGCTCTAGCCCTCCTCTGCTGCTGCAACCTTTCCCTACGCTGGTGGAACGGGTATCTGTCGCCCTCTGGTCCTAGTGCCAAGTGGGCAATCAGGCGTCTAGCCGATCGCAAGATCCGGTCGTCCGGTTGTGGAACCTCCCTGTCACTCATAAGCTACAGCACTGTACAGTGTCTGCACTAGGACACTCTTGATGCCTACCACAACATACTATACATACCAATCAAATAATCGGTGGCTATATTTGAGACTAAACATTTGGGCCCAACAGGTAAGTCAGATTCCTACAAATAAAACTATTTTTAGTTTGACTAGTCCGCAAACACATGCATAAGGAACAAATAACAGTTCTAACTAATGCTGTCTGTCAGATGTCAATGGCTGTACACCTAACTAATCAAAACATAAAAATAGAATCACTTGTGTGGATAGGACAGCATGGAGTTTTTATCGGACTTATCACCTGAAATCTACCCATCCCTTAGTTCCCCTGAATGTCACTTGATGTCAGCATCCCTGAGCAATCCAGAGAGCGTTGCGTGTCTAAAAGGCGTGTGTTCGGCCCACCCCTGTGCCCCGAGTATCAGCTGAGCTGGCCATCCCTGCACTGGATTATCATCGCGTGCAGCGAGCCTTACAACAATTGGCTGATCCAGAGGCAATTTAACGTCCGCTCCCAAGTGACTCCAGGAATTATTTTACGTCGCAGCCGGACGACGATCACAGCCAATGGTTTCCCCCTACCGGTGTTTATTTAAAGACGCCCAGTTCTCGTCTCCCACTTAGGGCTGGCCTGCCCTTTAGTACCCATCTAACAACGCAGCAAGCCAAACAAAGGACAAGCAGCAAAGCATGCGTGCTCTACTCCCGGTGGGTTGGCATGGTGACCGTGACCCAGTGCTTCGTCCAGGGCCCTTCAGAAAGCTCAGCCCATCTTCTCCCAGATGCTCCACGTGAACATTGCCGACTCTCAAGGTTGAGCGCACTCAACACCTCACAACTCTCAAGAAGGAACACACAACCTCACGGTAAGAAGTGTCGAAGAGGGTAGATAAGGTTAAGATCAACGTACCTCAAATAACTGCCCCCAACGACAAAGATAATCTCACCAGATGACGTGATAGTGATTGCGATGACCAGTCATTGCTTCGGCACAACCAGCATTGCACGCCGTTCCACCTCAACACCATTCGCACATTAGATAGTTCTCATCACACTGTCCAATACCCACATTATACCACGTAGCCTTTCTGGCGATCCCCTCACCTCCTGGGTCGCCTATCACTCGTCTCCACCCTCCTCACTACACACCACTTACGACCAAACTCGCCAAGCAGACCGCATGTATGTACCGCATAAGGCAGAAGACAAGCGCCAGATGAGCGCAATCGTACCACAGCTCCAATACCAAATTGCAAGGAAGATGAGCAATAGCGAACTTCAGCAATCAAACAACATCATATACACAAGACCCGATAGTCGTGACCTCGAACCAACAACAAAATTGCATCACGAGTTTCACCAAATAAGAAGACACCAAGAGTTCAAAATTGACAATGCTGGTAAAGTCTCATCATCATCATCAATGAAGAACCAATGTTGATATCCTATCTGGCGCTTGGCACCCAGACTACCGATGGCAGGTCCTATCTAGCCTAGACTACAATGCCGAATGTTGAGGACAACAGCTTTCCGAAGTACGAGCATACAGCGAACAATGTCGCACGATTCCAGCACCAGGTAGGTCTCTCGCTTCACTCACAACCTCGTTCCCCAACACACAGATGCCACTTGCACCCAAGGACCACCCTACGCCACACCCAGCTTACAGCAGCGCAGCTCGGCTATGGCTGCCTGCTCCTTCCCTGCTCGCCCGTGAGCGCGTAGGCACCAGCCAGCAATTTGCGCAGCATGCAGCCAGCACCCGACTGGCGAATGCGGAGGCAGGCCCTTTGCTATATAGAAGTGGCCTGCCTGCATCCAATCCCAGGAAGGTTCCAGTAGGCCCTGGTAGCCTGAGGCCCAGCACGAACGAGAACAGGCCTTGGGCCTGAGGTGGTTGCATGCGCCCAACTGCCTTTGGCCTGTGTTCGGCCTAGTACCCGTATCCAGCCCAGGGCCTGCTTCACATACATTCACACAGGCGGCCCAGGGCCTGGGTTCTCTCAACCAACTGGCGCTGCGTAACTGCCTGAATTTCCTTGAGTTGCGTGGTGACCAAAACAGGGCCCTGAGGGCCTCGTCGAGCCTGCCTTCACTTAGGGCGGCCGACTTGCTTCAGAATGGGGCCATAAGGGGCTCATAGATGCATTGGCCTCGCATCTTTTTTTTTTTTTTTTTTTTTAATTCCCTAAAATTAATTGTTTCCTAAAAAACAAATATGGGGTGGTAGGTTTTGAAAAACCCTAAAACTCTAGGCTACCGACGAAGCAGGAGGCGGCACCGTAGCGCTCCAATCCTGCGACGCGAGCGCACTAGCATTAGGGTTTCTTCACGGATCGCGGAGTTTGAGCACCATGCCCCGGGGAGCTCAGCACGGGGAAGGTGCGTCATGTAGCCGTCGAGCGTCATGGTGAGCTTGAGCACATGTGACATGAACTTGTCCTTGGATAGTGGCGAAGGGTGGTGGTGCTGCATGGGTAAGTGGCATATTTCCTCCGGGAATCTTTTGGAACTACTTGAACCTATTGAGCTGAAGATGGCTGCACTCGCCAGCGAGCTTTCTATGGAACTTGCACGCTTTCGGTCGTGACATCGAGCGTCCTGCTCTTCCACAACGGGTGGCACTTTGTCGAAGCTCACTCGCCAACGAGCTTTCTATGGAACTTGCACGCTCTCGGTCGTGACATCGAGCGTCCTGCTCTTCCACGACGGGTGGCACTTTGTCGAAGCTCTCAAGCTTCGGGAACTTTTGAACCTGTTTTTCTTCTTCTCCGCTTCGGGCTACCTTTCGGTATACGGAGCGGCAGATGACAACAAGTGGCAGTACGTGGTTTTCTGACTAAAGGCCGCAGAGAATTGCTGTTTCTCTTGACATCGTGCGATCTTTGTGATATGAAGCGGGAGCTGTTAGAAAGGTGGAACATACCTTCTCGACGTAGATTCCTCTGTGGCGTTGTGGTTCCCCTAATCCCATCTACATGCCTAGTCTTTGGACATCTTGCTGATCAGGATCCATTCACAAGAGATCTGCTTACCGAATCTGTTCGGATCGTCTTTCTCAGTCTTTCTTTTTTTTTTTTTTTTTTTTTTTTTTTTAGTCACCTTTTGTCATCTTTCGGGGCAGCTGGGGTAGAGACGGTAAAGCACGCGGGAAAGCACAAAGCTGTTTTGTCTGTTTCGGAAAATAGGAGACTGTTAACTTCGCTATTAGGGTTAATAACGTCGGTTAGTTCCCCAGCCCTCAGGTGAGGCAATCATTTTGAGCACCCTTGCTTGCTGGTGTCTAACAATCTCTCTTTGTGGACTTTCTTCATTCCTCCGATCTGTTTTGTCTTCTTATGAGAGCTTCAAGTTGCTGTTTCCTGTAAGCCCTTGTTCCATCATCATAGCCGTTGGTGAGTTCACGGACTCWCATGGGAACGTTAGTTTAATCTACAWAGACCTCTTGTACAAAAACTCTCCTTAGTCGGTGTAATCGAACCAGTGCTCTCATTCATAATCCTTTTCTTTTGATCTGCAGTTTWTTARATGAATGGCACCCGTTTAGGAACTTTCCTCAATCTAAGCTTCGTTTTATGAGCTTTCCCCTCGTAGTGGTGGGGAGAGGCTTGTAAAGGAAGTGCTGGTGTTGGCGAGAGCTTGGGAGTAGTAAGMAGTCGGTGGGGGAGATAATGATCAAGCCGTGGCTGCAAGAAGGAACGYGAGAGTCRGCGACAGCGAGGAATCTTCGAGAAATCAGGAGCTCTGGCAGATTAAAGATAGAAGCTGCGGACTTCCTATGGAGTTAAACGTGCGGTGCTTGAACTGTGGGTGTGAACTCAGATGGGTATGTGTGATAGGGCGGTGCCATCTGCCTCAAAACTGTGATGGTGAGGTATTGAGAGCGAATGATGTCAATCTGAGCAATAGACGGGAGGGTATCCACAGTTCAGGGGGTGATAGTGACAAGGTCGATGATGATGATGATGATGATGATGATGATGATGATGATATTTATGATGTTAATGGTGATGATAACGATAATGGGGATATGAATCGTTGGAATCGGAAGACTGGAGATGGCGATAATGAGGGTGACAATGGGTCGTTGGAATCGTTGGGACCACCTCAAAACCGTGATGATGATGATGAGGAGGAGGAGGATGATGAGGAGGATGGTGATATGAATTGTTGGAATCAGAGGACTGGGGATAATGAAAGGGAAGATGATAAAACTGGTCGGGGTGGTACAGTCCATTGGGATAAGAAGAGAAGTGAAGACATGAGAGTGGATTTCAAAGATTCCGGCGACAGGAAAGGCAGGGAGCAGAAGGAGGGCG